AGTTCAACTGGAATACTGCCAAGTGCGGCTTTAAACAACAAACAGAAACTGGTGATATATGTTATCCAACAAGTACATCGACGGGCGTATTACAGTCGCAGTATTGTACGACATCACACACTAAACATGTCAGTTAAAGAGTTCGTACGTTTTGCTACTGCAGCAGTATCTCGGAACACCAACACAGGGCATACACCAATTTGGACATAAACCACAATCACTCGCACTTGACTGAAGTCAGTCTCACATTTGTATTCCTTTTGATCATAAAGAGCTTCTGAGATTTAAATCATAGGTTTAAATCAGTACTGAGCACAAGTGTCTACATGGGTTTCTTAAACCCATCTGATGCTAGGTGTTCCTTCACATCACCGAAGAGCAGTAAACATCATTCTGCAATATTAATATTGATTTTCTGAGATTTAAATCATATGTTCTGCGAAGATATTCACAGACAGATGGCTCGGTACACAGCACAATTTCCAAAGTGTCTACATGGCGTGTGTCTTAAACCCATCAGATGGTAAGTGTTCATTCACATCATTGTGTCAACTTACTTAGGAGCAGTAAATATCATTCTGCAATATTAATAAGTGTTTCCTTCTTTGTTTCTATCAGTATTTTAGGGATTTCACGCCGCATTGAACAATATTTCAGTCATATCACAGCATACCAGTTATAGTTTGGAGGAGAGTCTGAAGTGACGCAGTTCTTGGACCTTTATCACTTTGATGGCACTCACGAGCATGGGTTTTGTGCTGGCAAACCTAGAAACATCACCAGGGACAATCTGGGATTCAAACCCATGGTCGGTGGTTCCTGGCACTTCTAAGGGAAGTAACTCGTAAATGAAATCCGTACACCAAGGATCATTATCTAGGATTTGAACCCATGATCAGCTGATCCTTGAACAGCCTGCTTACATAGATATATTAATTCGCAGTTTATCACTCAGGTATTTCCTATCTTGATAGCATTATAGATGTGAAAAAAAATATTTGCATTATAATACAGGCGGCCCATCTATTAACGGTCGAGTTTGCCCACAACACAAGATACACAAGTGCCCCAAACTTCCCAGGACAAAATAACAAATGGTTTGTTACCAAAGATCTTCTACTCGCATGGAAGACTATAGCAATCCACAGACCTCACTGAGGACACCAATCCAACCGAGGCAATTACGAATGAGTAGACACGTATGCTCTTATTAATTGCCAGGTTTGTGAAACTTCACAGTAAAGCTATCTAAAGAATAAATAATCTAAGAATATGTAATAATCGGTTGTTCTTTAACCTCTTTGAGTTGTATATGTTCCCTAGCCAAATTTCAGATCACCCGCACCAAAATATTACTTAAGTTCCTTAAGCACTAAAAGAATGCAATCAAAATAAATAAAATAAATATTATGTTAAACACATTTTAACATATTCATTGTAATTCTTTCGATTGGGATGTGTTGGTGTGTGCGAGAGCCTAAATTACGCCTGATGATAACACAAATGAACGAAGTTTATGTAACAAGTTGATTCTAGTCAACAATCTTAGTGTAAGGAACTCCGAGTAGTCTGATTTCCAGCGATCGAACTACACAAAAAACTGCATTTATTTCTACTTCCTAGTGTGAATTAGAAAAAAACACTATTCACTTTTCACATACTGAACAGCAAAAAGGTTTCCCGTTTTATATCTTTTGTTCATGCAGTACGAGTAGGCCCATATCAGAGATAAACTTCGGGCAGAATACAAATGAAGATTTAAGAAAATTGAACTCAGAGCTGAAGAGCTCACAGTAAAGTCTAAGCCATAACTACTTATGCTTTACCACTCCTTTTGAATTTTTTTCGTGTTGTTTATTGGACGAAACAACAAATTCAGGGTTTGACACCCTCTCACGAAGAATCATGTAAGTTTTCCAAGAACAGGCTATCTGAACGAACACTGCATCGAGTTTATGTGCAGTGTGTTGAGAAGATCAGCAACCCCGCAGTCCGCTTGGATGAAATCGACTGGCCTGAAAAGTGAAACAGAAGGCTTTCTGTTTGCTGCCCAAGACCAGTCACTTCCCACTCGAAATCGTCAATGTGTGATTTTGCATCAAAATGTAAACATGAAATGTAGATTATGCAATGAATTTAATGAGACTGTCCAACACATTGTCAGTGGATGCCTAGCTTTGGCACAAACACGGTATCTTAAGCGACATGATGGCGTGGCTCTATCATTTTATTACCGTCTTCGCCATGCTTGTGGTTTTGACACAGAGGTCCATCCATGGTACAACCCAGAATATGTAGAGGGCGTCATAGAAAATGATAAATACAAAACTCTTTGAAATAGGTTCGTATACAGCCTCAGACGTATCCAGACCAATACACCTGATCTTGTCCTTTTTTGAAAAATCCAATGAAATCATTTATATCATTGAATTTTCTGTCCCTTTTGACACTAATGTGATTGACAAGATTCAGGAAAAACATGGCAAATATGCGGACCTCGCTTTCGAAATGTCATGCTTGCATCCCATGTATCAAGTTGTCCGACTCCCCATTGTTCTCGGTGCCTTGGGTTTGGTACCTTCGTTGACCGGAATATAGCCCTTCTGACAATCTTGGTAATGCAGAAGGCTGCTGTGTTGGGGAATCTTTACATTCCCCGAAAAGTTCTCGGCGGGTTCGACTAGGTAGAGCTTCCTGGGAGAAGTCCCATTCGCTGCCTTGGCTGCGTGTAGAAGGGGCAAGGGCCCTGAACTGATGATGAGCCTTACAAGCCTGACTCTGCCAGGAATCACCCAAACCCCAAAACCTGCTGCATTTTTTATTTTAATCTAATAATAATAATAATAATAATACAGGCACCCAAAATCGACCATACACAAATAACATAATTCAAATCAGAATAAAATATTAAACTTTGAATTTGTTCATGCCAAATCATTCCTACCTGTCCAACCCTGGAATAGTAATGCAGCCAAACCAAAAGCAAGTTTTGAAAATTGTGAATTGTGAATACGGCCAAAGTACAGAAGCTCAACTCAAAGCAATAAAACCCAAGCGATCCAATGTCAATCTGCACCATTTCCGGAGAAGGAGACATTCGTCTATAATTATGGGGCATAATCGGAAGCTCCACATATGGAATGTTTCAAAATATGGAAATGTGGCTTTTCGTCCCGTGTTGGACCAATACGATAACTGATCATGATGGTGGAGGAAGATTGCTAAACAATATATACAAGAGTACATGTAGTATATACATTAAAGGTACTTATCACAACACTACCGTGTTACCGCTACGGGAGGCAGAAACAGCATAACTGTATTTGGTAACAAAAATAAATTCGACAGGGTCATGAATGACCATCGTCAACTGGTGGGGTGCTTCGCATTTGACACAGCCAATATTTCTAATTGTTGATTAAACTCATGGCCTGATTATATCCCAGTGTAAATAATTCCCTGAGAGTAAATTTACCTCTCCAAAGAAAACAAATTTTAATTTGAAGCTTACACGATATATGGCTTTTCTATTGGACGAGAGGTCGGTCACATGACCGCGAAATTGACGTTCATAAGTGTATGAACGACACAATTTGACGTTCATACGTTTTTCACGAGACTGTATTCTTACAGCCACGTAAACCCTGACGGACAACTTAAACATTCCCTTGAAAACCCTAGGAATTCCCTAGGACGAATACACAGAGAAGCGTTTGGAAATCTCTCCCGTCACGTTATTCGTGTCGGCCATTTTGACGTATTGTACTTGATGTAAATGTATTACGACGCGCTATTATTTTTACTTGACTGAGGTTGTTCTTAACAGAACATTTTCATCCAATAGGGATATTATTTGAATAGATTTGTTGAAAAAAACAACAACATATGTTCCTCTAAAGCAATTTGAGCATACACGTCTCTCTTTTTGAGGAACTATTTTATTCCGCAATACAGTTGGTTGTTGTATGACTGGCAGTGTAAACATGAGTCTCTGCGGTTCAAAGAATTGGACCTGATCTCTACGAAGATTCCTACTCCAATGAACTTACACAAAGTAAAAGTCAATTATTAATTTAAAAACACACAACTTTTGTAATATAGTTAATCTATCATGTCCATAATAGATTCACTATTTAAGAACTGACTTTCACTTTGTGTGAGTTCCAGGGAGTACGAACCTTCATAGAGTGAGGGCCGTACAATGTTTGATCCTCACAAACCTAACACAAGAGATACTATTGTCCACTAATTTCAATGTTGCAAAATACCCGTCAAACATCAGTGACCTTTACTGAATCTGAGCCTTTACGAGATAAAGACGTCTTTTTGCACTTTGCGTTTCGAATTGTTGACAATTTGTAAATGCAATGAATCTGTCTTCCAGACCCTAGAAAATAAATTGAAACTCAAGTCTAGAATGATTTGGCAAGTCTAGATTACCCCAGCCTGAAACTAAGGATTGTTCTGTGCTCTATTTGGATGTTATTTTTATTATTTTATAGATATATATTTTTAAATAAGATAACTTCATTCTGGGACTTAATGTCAGTCCAAAAGATTTCGTACAGGTTAGGTTGTAAAAGTTTCAGTTATAATCTTTTTAAAGTTATATCCATATATGGCCTGATACTTCAACTTCGTTTCAGTACTATAAGATAATACGTATATATAACAAGAAACATTACTCCGTACCTATAATCCATTAATGTGGAAAAAATTAATAAGGTTATGTCACTGGGACAGTGTCATGTTTATCTTTATGAATACAAGTCCAACCTAAAAATCTCAAACCACCCAAAGAAAACACATGTTGTGAAATCTCGTTGTCTCGAACTCTGATAAGTCGTTTAAGATGACGTAAAATCAGTAATCTCTATAGTTCCATTTAGTCGAACTATGCACACAGAGGCTTAGGGTTCGACATCACGGGAAAAAACACTGTTTGAGTTATAAAGTGTTAATACGAATATTAGTAGTGAACAAACAAAAATAAAACAAAATAAAACTTGATATTTTTAATATACGTGTCCCCTTTAAGGGTGCTCTTAAATTTATGTATTCAAGGAGATCGAGTTGTCACGAATGTCTGAATGTCATGGATGTCTGCTGAATAAAAAGCTTCCTTTATGGAGAAAAATATGGCAAATTGGACTTCACGTGGTGAAATGACATATATACTCAGCGTCAAAAGAAACGCGAACCACAGAAACTTATAGAGAAGTATGTACGTGAAGAAGAGATGTTTCCAATGTGCACCAATTTATGAAAATACTAACAATCAGTCACGTGTTACTACAGAGTGTCTTTATTCTTATCACGATATGCTGCACGTGATTTCCAAACGTTTACACGTTAATCCTGCACGAGACAAATGGTGCATCTCGAGTCAAGGATCTATAACGTCACATGTAATGCGTCCATGCGCGTCGATTCACGCAACATCCCAGTTCTTCATATCTTAACCAACATGGTATTCGCGTTTCTTTTGTCGATGAGTATAGTGTGAATCGTACAGCAAGTATGTCAGGACATTATTGGTTGTACTTTATCAACGACAAGTATGGGAACCTCAAGGTAACACAAGAGATGGTCGGGATTGAGATGAACTTGTGTTCATCTTGACGAACCAGGGCCCCGTTCCACAAAGCGATCGTAGTGCTAAGGTGATCTTAACTCCCATACTTTAACATAGCCTTACGATGGCCGTAGCGCTAAGATCGCTTTGTGAACGGGCCCCAGGATAGCAATCTACTTGTAAACAGCTGAATGTTCGGATCCAATCAGAGCTCGTCATTTTGGTCAGTGTTGTACATAAGAGTGAGTGAGTGAATTTGATTTTACGCCGCTTTTAGCAATATTCCAGCAATATCACGGCGGGGGACACCAGAAATGGGCTTCACACATTGTACCCATGTCGGGAATCGAACCCGGGTCTGCGGCGTGATGAGCGAACGCTTTAACCACTAGGCTACCCGACCGCCCCTTGTACATAAGAAGAGAATGTCCTCCCTCCATACAGACAATGCTGCTGAAGCTACATGTACAAGATTTGCTCACATGACTGGGCTTGTGGGAAGTGACAAGTGACAAGTGACGAATGACGTAATATACAATCTGTGCTTCAAGACAGGTAGAGGCCACAGGAAGAGAAACAATGGACTTCGCCTCGACCTATTTATCCTGATACAGTACTGTCACTCCATCTACCACCCCACCTGTCACTCCACCTCTTCCCAACGCATTCGTAAGCAAGAGGCATAGCCAGCAGTGGTGAATAAATGGCAGGAAATACGGCCATGACAGGGTAGAAAATAGAGAAAGCTGTAAATAGCAAGAGTGTCATAAAAGTGACAGGGGAGGTCAGAAATAACTTATCACAACTATATAAAGCGGATTGGGGGGGGGGGGGGGGTGTGATGAAAATGACAGTTCTTTCTTCACAAATAAAACAGTCATACATGTGAACAATATTTAGGGACCGGTCACTTAGTATAGGGAAGAGGGGGTGGTGGATAAATATTACGTAAAATCGAAAAATGGGGGGGGGCGTACTCGGCAAAATATGATACTGACCTAAAACCGATCTCACCCCTACCCCCACCCCCACCAATACCCTAGCCACACCCCTAGCCACACCCTACAATAAATGACCAGCCCCAAAACACGCTGAGTTGAGATGGCCTAAATGCAGTAAGATCAGAATTCATCAGTTGGACAAAACGTACGATCAATCAATGTTCCTTCCGCTTGCATAAAAATATTGAGTATGATAAGTTTATCAGCATCAGTTTGGTCGGAAAGTTCGCCTTTGAAACCTTGCAAGATTCAGTAGAGACGGGGTGTTCACAAATGCTGGGGAGTGTTTAACGAGGTGTTCACGTGGCGTTCACACAATGTTTTTCACTGGGTTAACCTCTGTTGGAACATTTTATAACAAAGATATCTTCGTTCATCCATCCAATTCCGAGTAAAAGCTCTTTAATTACGTCATGTTTTTTACACGATTTCGCCTTACAGAGTACTTAGTTTCTAAAGGCCTTACAGAGTACTCGTTCTTAGTTTGACAAGTCCTTACAGAGTAATCGTTCTTAGTTTCTCAGGTCCTTGCAGAGTACTCGTTTTCAGTTTCTCAAGTCCTAACAGAGTAATCGTTCTTAGTTTGTCAATTCCTTACAGAGTAATCGTTCTTAGTTTGTCAATTCCTTACAGAGTACTCGTTCTTAGTTTCTCAAGTCCTTACAGAGTAATCGTTCTTAGTTTGTCAATTCCTTACAGAGTACTTGTTCTTAGTTTCTCAAGTCCTTACAGAGTAATCGTTCTTAGTTTGTCAAGTCCTTACAGAGTACTCGTTCTTAGTTTGTCAAGTCCTTACAGAGTAATCGTTCTTTGTTTGTCAAGTCCTTTCAGAGTAATCGATCATTTGTGTCCTTACATAGTTCTCAGATTATTAATTCCTCACAAAGAAAAAGGTCCTATGTTTGCAAGTCTATCTTTCTTCACAACTTGCAATTTGTTAGAGTATTCGATCCTCAGGTAGTCAAGTTATTACAGTGTGCTCGCTTCTTCGTGTTCTATATGGACCTGTCCCTTCGATTGTAAAGTTATTACGGACTCACCCTATGTCTGTCACGTGCACGCAGATTAAAATAATAATCTTTGGTTTCACAGATCAAACACAGACAACTGTCCTTTGTGCAAACAATCATCTAAGCAAGGTTTCTTCCGCCCACACGAGTCTGATAAGATAATCAGAGTTTTTCCAGTTCTTCTTGGTCCATGAGTTTGTTCTTGGCGGGGTTGGATGCGATGGTGTCTTCAAGGGGAGAGTCTTTGGTCTCGGCGAGCAGGGACGTGACTACAATGCAGACGGCCATGGTGACGCTCACCACGATGAAGGGCATGAGGATGCTGTCTCCGCCCTGCAACACAACATCCTTATTTCAAACACAGAGTAGGTGGGGGGACGAAATGAGAGGTGGGGAGATACTAGATTAAGGAAAAGAGACAGGGAGAGAGGGAGAGGAAGAGAGAAACAGAGGAGAAAAGAGAGAGAGGAAGATAAAGACGGGATGAAGATAAAGACGGGAGGAAGATAAAGACGGAAGGAAGATAAAGATGGGAGAAAGATAAAGATGGGAGGAAGATAAAGGTGGGGAAGATAAAGATGGGAGGGAGATAAAGACGGGAGGAAGATAAAGACGGGAGGAAGATAAAGATGGGAGGAAGATAAAGGTGGGGAAGATAAAGACGGGAGGAAGATAAAGACGGGAGGAAGATAAAGGTGGGGGAAGATAAAGACGGGAGGGAGATAAAGGTGGGAGGGAGATAAAGACGGGAGGAAGATAAAGATGGGAGGGAGATAAAGATGGGAGGAAGATAAAGGTGGGGAAGATAAAGATGGGAGGGAGATAAAGATGGGAGGAAGATAAAGATGGGAGGAAGATAAAGATGGGAGGAAGATAAAGGTGGGGAAGATAAAGACGGGAGGAAGATAAAGACGGGAGGAAGATAAAGATGGGAGGAAGATAAAGATGGGAGGAAGATAAAGACGGGAGGAAGATAAAGACGGGACGAAGATAAAGACGGGAGGAAGATAAAGACGGGAGGAAGATAAAGGTGGGGGAAGATAAAGACGGGAGGGAGATAAAGGTGGGGGAAGATAAAGACGGGAGGAAGATAAAGACGGGAGGAAGATAAAGACGGGAGGAAGATAAAGGTTGGAGGAAGATAAAGACGGGAGGAAGATAAAGACGGGAGGAAGATAAAGACGGGAGGAAGATAAAGACGGGAGGAAGATAAAGACGGGAGGAAGATAAAGATGGGAGGAAGATAAAGACGGGAGGAAGATAAAGACGGGAGGAAGATAAAGATGGGAGGAAGTTAAAGATGGGAGGAAGATAAAGGTGGGGGAAGATAAAGACGGGAGGAAGATAAAGACGGGAGGAAGATAAAGACGGGAGGAAGATAAAGACGGGAGGAAGATAAAGACGGGAGGAAGATAAAGACGGGAGGAAGATAAAGATGGGAGGAAGATAAAGACGGGAGGAAGATAAAGAGGGGAGGAAGATAAAGACGGGAGGAAGATAAAGATGGGAGGAAGATAAAGACGGGAGGAAGATAAAGGCGGGAGGAAGATAAAGATGGGAGGGAGATAAAGATGGGAGGAAGATAAAGATGGGAGGGAGATAAAGATGGGAGGGAGATAAAGACGGGAGGAAGATAAAGATGGGAGGAAGATAAAGACGGGAGGGAGATAAAGACGGGAGGAAGATAAAGATGGGAGGGAGATAAAGATGGGAGGGAGATAAAGATGGGAGGGAGATAAAGACGGGACGAAGGTAAAGACGGGAGGAAGATAAAGACGGGAGGAAGATAAAGACGGGAGGAAGATAAAGATGGGAGGAAGATAAAGATTGGAGGGAGATAAAGACGGGAGGGAGATAAAGACGGGAGGAAGATAAAGACGGGAGGAAGATAAAGACGGGAGGAAGATAAAGATGGGAGGAAGATAAAGATGGGAGGGAGATAAAGGTGGGGAAGATAAAGGTGGGGGGGAGATAAAGACGGGAGGAAGATAAAGATGGGAGGGAGATAAAGGTGGGGTAAGATAAAGACGGGAGGAAGATAAAGACGGGAGGAAGATAAAGACGGGAGGGAGATAAAGACGGGAGGAAGATAAAGACGGGAGGAAGATAAAGGTGGGGGAAGATAAAGACGGGAGGAAGATAAAGATGGGAGGGAGATAAAGGTGGGGGAAGATAAAGACGGGAGGAAGATAAAGGTGGGGGAAGATAAAGACGGGAGGGAGATAAAGGTGGGGGAAGATAAAGACGGGAGGAAGATAAAGATGGGAGGGAGATAAAGGTGGGGAAGATAAAGACGGGAGGAAGATAAAGATGGGAGGGAGATAAAGGTGGGGGAAGATAAAGACGGGAGGAAGATAAAGATGGGAGGGAGATAAAGGTGGGGGAGATAAAGACGGGAGGAAGATAAAGATGGGAGGGAGATAAAGGTGGGGGAAGATAAAGACGGGAGGAAGATAAAGATGGGAGGGAGATAAAGGTGGGGGAAGATAAAGACGGGAGGAAGATAAAGATGGGAGGGAGATAAAGGTGGGGGAGATAAAGACGGGAGGAAGATAAAGATGGGAGGGAGATAAAGGTGGGGAAGATAAAGGCGAGATGAAGATAAAGGTGGGGAAGATAAAGACGGGAGGAAGATAAAGATGGGAGGGAGATAAAGGTGGGGAAGATAAAGACGGGAGGAAGATAAAGATGGGAGGGAGATAAAGATGGGGAAGATAAAGACGGGAGGAAGATAAAGATGGGAGGGAGATAAAGGTGGGGAAGATAAAGACGGGAGGAAGATAAAGATGGGAGGAAGATAAAGACGGGAGGAAGATAAAGGTGGGGAAGATAAAGACGGGAGGAAGATAAAGGTGGGAGGAAGATAAAGATGGGAGGGAGATAAAGGTGGGGAAGATAAAGACGGGAGGAAGATAAAGGTGGGAGGAAGATAAAGATGGGAGGGAGATAAAGGTGGGGAAGATAAAGACGGGAGGAAGATAAAGACGGGATGAAGATAAAGGCGAGAGGAAGATAAAGGTGGGGAAGATAAAGACGGGAGGAAGATAAAGGTTGGAGGAAGATAAAGATGGGAGGGAGATAAAGGTGGGGAAGATAAAGACGGGAGGAAGATAAAGACGGGATGAAGATAAAGGCGAGAGGAAGATAAAGGTGGGGGAAGATAAAGACGGGAGGAAGATAAAGACGGGAGGAAGATAAAGATGGGAGGAAGATAAAGGTGGGGAAGATAAAGACGGGAGGAAGATAAAGACGGGAGGAAGATAAAGATGGGAGGAAGATAAAGGTGGGGAAGATAAAGACGGGAGGAAGATAAAGACGGGATGAAGATAAAGGCGAGAGGAAGATAAAGGTGGGGGAAGATAAAGACGGGATGAAGATAAAGATGGGAGGAAGATAAAGGTGGGGAAGATAAAGACGGGAGGAAGATAAAGACGGGAGGAAGATAAAGGTTGGAGGAAGCTAAAGACGGGAGGAAGATAAAGACGGGAGGAAGATATAGGCGGGAGGAAGATAAAGACGGGATGAAGATAAAGGCGAGAGGAAGATAAAGGTGGGGAAGATAAAGACGGGAGGAAGATAAAGGTGGGGAAGATAAAGGTGGGGAAGATAAAGACGGGAGGAAGATAAAGACGGGAGGAAGATAAAGATGGGATGAAGATAAAGGTGGGGGAAGATAAAGACGGGAGAAAGATAAAGACGAGAAGGGGTATAAAGCAGGAGAGGGAGAGAGGTAGGGAGGGGGGAGATAGAAACAGGTGAAGGAAAAGAGAGAGAGATGGGGGAGGAAGAGATAAAAGGGGAGGGAGAGGGGAGAAATAAACGGGTTAGAAAAAGAGAGAAAATGCGGGGGGGGGGGGGGGGGAAGAGGGAGAGGAAGAGGAAGAGAAAAATGGGGCGGGATAGAGGGGAGAAATAAACGGGTTAGGAAAAGAGAGATAATGCGGGGGGGGGGGGGGGGGGGGGAAGAAAAAGAGGGACAGGAAGCACAACAGACAGAAAGTGAAAACATCACAAACAAATAGGGATCGATTTTTAATAATCAGCATAATAGATAGATGGATAATCAAATGGCCAAATGGTCGATCCCTTACTAAAGAATATTAAACATGTAAAACCGCAAACCACACTTATCAGACGGAAAGGACTCACCAGCGTAAAGATGAATGGTGCGATGATGGCGCCAATACGGGATAACATTCCAGCTGCGCCATAACCCAGATTCCTGAAGCAAGAGACACGTCATAGTATATCCCTTCCTTGCAGTACGTGCATAAACCTTTGTTATAACACATACATTATCCGCATATACCTTCGTTATACTTATACGTGGCAATGCACTTAAACGTGGCTATGCACTTACATGTGGCTATGCACTTAAACGTGGCTATACACTTACACGTGGCTATGCACTTACATGTGGCTATACATTTACACGTGGCTATGCATTTACCCGTGGCTATACATTTACATGTGGCTATGCATTTACATGTAGCCATGTACTTACACATGGCTATACATTTACACGAGGCTATACACTTACATGTGGCTATGCACTTACATGTGGCTATGCATTTACATGTAGCTATGTACTTACACGTGGCTATACATTTACACGTGGCTATACACTTACATGTGGCTATATACTTACACGTGGCTTTGCACTAACACGTAGCTATGCACTTACACGTGGCTATACACTTACACGTTGCTATACACTTACACGTAGCTATACACGTACACGTAGCTATACACGTACACGTAGCTATACACTTACACGTAGCTATACACTTACACGTGGCTATTCACTTACACGTAGCTATACACGTACACGTAGCTATACACGTACACGTGGCTATTCACTTACACGTGGCTATTCACTTACACGTAGCTATACACGTACACGTAGCTATACACGTACACGTAGCTATACACTTACACGTGGCTATTCACTTACACGTAGCTATACACTTACACGTGGCTATACACGTACACGTACACGTGGCTATTCACTTACACGTGGCTATTCACTTACACGTGGCTATACACGTACACGTAGCTATACACTTACACGTGGCTATTCACTTACACGTAGCTATACACTTACACGTGGCTATACACTTACACGTGGCTATTCACTTACACGTGGCTATTCACTTACACGTGGCTATACACGTACACGTACACGTGGCTATTCACTTACACGTGGCTATACACGTACACGTAGCTATACACGTACACGTGGCTATTCACTTACACGTGGCTATTCACGTACACGTAGCTATTCACTTACACGTGGCTATTCACGTACACGTGGCTATTCACTTACACGTAGCTATTCACTTACACGTGGCTATACACTTACACGTGGCTACACACGTACACGTAGCTATACACTTACACGTGGCTATTCACTTACCTGATAACGGTGGGGTAGGATTCGCTGGTGAGAACCTGAAATGCCGTCCACCCGGAACCTACCCCGACCTTAGCCACCAGAGCCAGGGTGGTGATGATTACACCTCGGGTGTCCGGTGGTGCTGCGGAACAAGGAAAGTCATATCACAGATATATCACACGAACCTCTTTATATCACAGATATATCACACGAACCTCTTTATATCACAGATATATCACACGAATATCTTTAATCCATCATCAAAATTGTAAACAGGACATACAAATAGGCTCCCCAACTACACATGGCCGTAAGCTGAGCGTTCAGTTATAACCTTGTCTGGGTTAACGAGGTTCTTTAAATAAGGTTTATGTGAAATATTTTACTCAATATTTGTAGTTTTAGATGACGTTTGTTTAAATATATGCAATAGTTCAGGTTGTCGTTTAACAAAGCGATCTTAGCTATGACTATCGGTACGTCCATCCCGTAACTATCGATACTCATAGCGCAAGTTCAGATCACCTTGTTGGAAACGATATTTTATGAGTTCTACGGACAAACATATTAATGTGTGTATGTACTGGGATATATTTTATTGTCATGTCTGTAGAGGAGCTCTACATTTTCTGTTTCTCTCAATAAGGGGCCGACCTTTTTTACATTCACGTTGACTGGGATTACTATTCATAGAGAGACCACGTGTAGGCCTTTGCGGGAAAACATACGCTTTCTTCTCCTCAACCCGCGCCAATCTCAGTCCTCAACGATTATGCTCTTTTAGAAGTGATCACGCTTAGTCTCATAAAGTATTCACGACCATCCAACAATAGAAAAAGCTCATCCATTCGTCATCGATGTACAATTTCAAAGTTTCACTCACTTACTCACTCACTCACTAGACTCCCACACCACTACAAAGTCAATAAAGTGTAATTTGTTTTTTAATACTTGTGTCTTCCCAGCATACATTGTGTTTCACTCTTACATTTACAGTGGAGATTAGTGACCGGTACTGATAACTATCAAATAAAATGAAATAAAAATAACAAAAAAGACACTTAACTTATTACAACCTTAATATCACTGGCAATAATAGGAAATAAAAATAATAAAATAAACATAAAAATATGAATAATAAAAGAAAGTTGATAAATGACTGAATCATTTTTGTTCAATTCCTATTTGGTTCATACTCAATGAAAGGCCCGACTCCGAATTAAGTTTCTTTTTTAAAACTTTACAATCAATATAATCGACACGCGTACCCCGCGAGCGACGGACATTATACAAACCATGAATGGACGCTATTATGACGCTAAGGGCGCCGATGACTCCTAACACCAAATAGCCCAAACATGTAAACTTCCGGCCGAACCTGAAACAACAAGTATGCGCATGTCCAAATTATTTACTACTTCCGGACACCGTCAACTGCTAGGTTCGATTTCCGGGTCGAGGGTCAACTGGAATAAAGCGAGAGTCAGGACATTGTGGCACGGAGTATACTGTAAAATACCTGTTACGACTGAAATAGACTTTCATGTACAAGAAACTAATCAAACTCGTGTAGAAATATTTTTTTTCCAAACACGAAGAACCAAAAGTCACACCCGATTGTACAGAATTGTTTTCACTGAAACGGAAGTATCTTTTAATCACGAAACATCAAAAACCACGACGAAGAATTAAATAATGAAATCCTATTCTATTCGGCATGCTGGACTAAAATTTTCCAAAATGGCGATCAATAATCCGCAGCACCTGCTTTATGGCAATTGAAATAATCCGCTGTGAAAGCTGCATTCAAGCTGTTATAGTTATATATACATATTTATATCAATATTAATCAGTTAAGCCTTTGTGTTGTATTTATATTTAACTGTACACCTAGATATTGTCAAAAGTGTAATCGTTTCAGAAATGGAATGGAGCGGCGTGGAATAATTATACTGCTGTGATCATCATGTGTACAAGGTGTTAAAAATGCGATTTTCAAAACAGAAAAAAAAACTTGAAAACAAAAGAAACGTCAGTTCTGAGTGCAAATGTGAAAACTGACACAGTGTTACATGATAAAGTTATTGAAGCAATCGTCATAAACACAATCACAATCGTTTAATCGCGTTGGCTGGCAATGGTGGTCTCTCCTTTAAAGATTTTACTATTTTACATAAGTATAGCAGGTAATAGAAGGAGCCTATACCACGATCACTGACGTCAGTCAAGGGTGTCATTGTGTTAAGATCATGGAGATACTGTTCATGAACAGTGGTCATTGTGTTCAGACAACGCCAGAAACCTATGATTGTGGGTTCGAATCCCGGGTCGCCCCAATTATGTTTCTAGGTTTGTCAGCACCATACCCGTGCTCGAGGGTTTCACCGAAGTGGTAAACGTCTGAGACCTGCATCACTTCGGCCTTTCCTCCAACATTAAGCTGACACGCCTTGATATAACTGGAATACTGTTAAAAGCGGCGTTAATCCAAACTCACTCACTCACTCATGCACTCTAATTGGTATGAACACGGGATGTCCACTCCAAGTCGATACCAAGCTAACACTACCACCTTACACGTACATATTGATCCCTTTATTGCCGTCTTCGCCATGCTAGTGGTTTTGACACAGAGGTCCATCCATGGTACGACCCAGAATATGTAGAGGGCGTCATGGAAGATGAGAAATACAAAATTCTTTGGAATAGGCCCGTATACAGCCTCAGACCTTTCCAGACCAACACACCTGATCTTGTCCTTTTGGAAAAATCCAATGAAATTATTTATATCATTGAATTTTCTGTCCTCGGTGCCTCAAGTTTGGTACCTCCCTATCTGTTGCCTGACATTGGGCGAGTACCCGGGTTTGCGACCAGGAATCTGGGTAATGCAGAAGGCTGCAGTGTTGGGGAGTCTTCACATTTTAAGAAAGGTTCTAAGTGGGTTCGACTAGGCAGCGCTACCTGGGAGAAGTGCCATAAGCTGTCTGGGCTGAAGAGTTTTTTGGTGTTTTTGTTGTTGTTGTTGTTGTTTTTTTTGTGTTTTTTTTGGGGGGGTGGGTTGTTTTTCGTTTGTAGTTTTTTGTTTTTGTTGGGGGGTGGGGGTGGGGTGGGGTGGGGGGGTGGGGGGGTCAAGGGCCCCGAGTTGATGATGAGCTTAAAGAGCCTGACTGTGCCAGGATCACTCAAACCCTCTTTGCTGCATTTATTTATTTTAATCTGTGTAATAATATCAATATTTAGTATTTAGTATTTTGAAGAAGACGATTTAGCAGTACGCAAACTGCAACGTTACACATCTCTATCATGGTGTGATCTCAATAGCTTGAATCAGGGCTACCAATACTTTCCTTCTGCATCCTGTAAATCTTCAGTAAACATGTCAACAATATTTTCATAAGAGTGGTCTTCAGAGATAATTTCATCTCAACTAGTAATACATATAAAATGTATATGCTCAGACTGTTGCAGATGATTAAGAAGTAGATTAATCGAAGCAATGTCTATGTCACTCTCATCCATAGTAGAGCTACTCTAAGGGTCTCTTAATTACTAAGATCAAATAAACACTGCATGTTTATTACTTCAAAATATCAGAAAAAAATTAAATCATCGCGATCACATGAACCCTCGTTATACCTTAACCACCCCGATCCGACATACCCGTGAAGATCCGGGTAGAATAGGTCTTCAGCAACCCACGCTTGTCCCCCCCGTGAAGATCCGGGGTAGAATAGGTCTTCAGCAACCAACGCTTGCCGTAAAAGGCGACTATGCTTGTCCTAAGAGGCGACTAACGGGATCGGGTGGTCAGACACGCTGACTCATATCCCAATTGCGTGGATCGATGCTCATGATGTCAATCACTGGATTGTCTTGTCCAGACTCGATTATTTACAGACCGCCGTCATACAGCTTGAATATTGCTTAGTGTGGCGTTAAACAACATGAAACAAACAAACAAACAAACAAACACAAATACCTTCATTATACTTAAACCACCCCGACCACACATTCCCTCATTATACTTTGTAGTCCTAGCCTAATATGGGTCCGATACTCCGTTATCCCAATAAGTACACAGGCCTTGTTTGATAGGCATTACTTAGAAGTTGACGGGTGACAAGGTAGACACAATTTTATGGATAACAACTTCTTTAATACTGTAAAAATCCACGTTACGGTATAGATCCTTATACCGTTGTCAAGCAGCTTGTCATCTTTTTTACAGTATTAAAGAAGTTAATCCATAAAATTGTGTCTACCTTGTCAATACACAGGCCGTAAAAGAGTTTCTTTGTTATAAAGCAGCATCAGCCCCAACCAATCTGCATCCCTCACAATCGATGCTCTTAACAACATACTAGCATCATCTCGGCAGAGGACACAAGAAATAGGCTTCACATTGTACCCTTATCAGAAATGAAACCAGGCCTTCAGCGTGACCAGCGAACGCTTTGACCACAAGGCTACCCCACCACTCTTTACAAACGTCTGTGACTATGGATCGACCTACGGGACAGAATGCGGACAACATTTGTCCATGCTTGAGGAAATATACAGGCGTGTGAGCTGATCGGGCTAGGTCACGTGGGGACGGTCGTGGGGTGTAGTTTCAAGTACTATACCTGTTATTGAGGTAGAGCGTCGCGATGTCGGCAGGTATATCCACGACGCCCATGAGAAAGATGTTGAGACAGAGGTTGCCGGAGAGAGAGTCCACGCCGAACAGAATACCGTAGTACACCAACGCCAAGCACGCCCTGAGGACGAAGAGATCGGGTTAAGTAACACTATAATTATAAGTCATGTTTGTACATATGTCACAGTAAAGAACACTGTATGCAACTTTATACAAAGCAAGAATACGTTATTCGCATCGGTAAATCTAGGTAGGTTCTCAATACGATGTTTTTTTTGTTTTTTTTTGTTTGTTGTTTAACGCCGCACTCAGCAATATTCCAGCTATATGACGGCGGCCTGTAAATAATCGATTCTGGACCATACAATCCAGTGATTGACATCATGAGCACCGATCCACCCAATTGGGATACGATGACATGATCAACAAACACAGCGAGCCTGACTACTCGATCCCGTTAATCGCCTCTTAAAAGCATCGTCGCGTTTTACAGCATGCATGAATCTACCCCGGGTCTTCATGAGTACTGATGCCAGAACTGGTTCACAAAGCATTACGAGAAAAGACAACCCTTGTTAACCCACATCCCTTCATTTCGCACACCTCAATTTCCAATCGATTGTAAACAGCAATTTACGTTCGCGAAACCATCATTCTGTTAATCGGGAGAGCGATGAAATCAATCGTCTGGATAAACGAGTCAAAGCGTCTGGATAAACGAGGTTCGGGTTACAAATGGCGGATGTTCACACTAAAACTGATAACTATTTTACCACTGAAACTGAACAAGGAGCGACATCCTGCACATCTTCCAGCCTCTATAGATGTCGATGTAGGTATATTTCTTGTCTAGGGCAAGTCTCCTCTCCTCATCTGCAACGAGTTTCAGGATGCCCAGGGTGTGTTCTGGCTTAGGGCGATTGTTGAATTGGCACACTTTGAGGACCACCGCTTCAGCCTCCTCCAAACGGTTCTTGACGGCGAGCCAGCGGATACTCTCGGGGATGTAGCTGGGGGGGAAACGACAAGGGTGAGTGTCCTCTAAACGGTTCTTGAAGTACGGCAATCATTATAACTTTGGGGAATGAAACCCGGGCCTTTGCGTGAAGAGAAGACGCTTCAGCCACTTGGTGAGGTGAGGTGAAATGGGGTTTAACGTCGCGTCCAAGATCATTGCACTTATATAGCGACGTGTGTGTGTGTGTGTGTGTGTGTGTGTGTGTGTGTGTGTGTGTGTGTGTGTGTGTGTGTGTGTGTGTGTGTGTGTGTGTGTGTGTGTGTGTGTGTGTGTGTGGCTGCTTGTACTAGACCGGACTGATGCCGATTTATAGTGCTAGCCCTCTGAGATACCATGCCGCAGTTTAACATGAATACCCCACTCAGACACAGTATACTGACTCCGAGCCGAACAGGCCTTGCTTTAACCCCTTAATGCCGAGCGTCAGACAGGGTAACAACAAGTCCCATCTTTTAACGTCTTTTGGTATGACGCGGCCGGGGATCGAACCCCGGACCTTCCGCTCTCCGGGCGGACGCTCTACCACTAGACCACGGAGGCGGTCTCAGCCCCTTGGCTTCCCTACAACCCTGATTAGCGCGCCAATCTCCCATATAACATGTCCGAATATGGCTAGTCTCAGCTTGTGACGCCCTCAGCAATATTTCATCTATATGACGGCGGCCAGTAAATGTTCGACTCTGAACCAGGCAAACCAGTTATTGATATTACGAGCAAAATCCCTCAAATTGTAATCAACCAAATCACAGTCTGACAACCCGATCGATTTGGTCGCCTCTTACGACCAGCATATGTTGCCGAGGACTTATTCTAACCGGAACCCCCGCATGAGGCCCAGCATAGATTGTGTCCCCCATTTTAATGTGCAATCCCCATGGTATGACAATCACAGGTTGCTGAGGACCTGTTCTAACCCGGAATGTCCACGGGGAAACCAGCATAGGTTGCTGAGGACCTGTTCTAACCCTGAATCCCCACGGGGAGACCAGCATAGCTTGCCGACGACCTGTTCTAACCCTGAATCCCCATGGGGAGACAAGCATATGTTGCTGAGGACCTGTTCTAACCCTGAATCCCCACGGGGAGACCAGCATAGCTTGCCGACGACCTGTTCTAACCCTGAATCCCCATGGGGAGACAAGCATATGTTGCTGAGGACCTGTTCTAACCATGAATCCCACGGGGAGACCAGCATAGGTTGCTGAGGACCTGTTCTAACCCTGAATTCCCACGGAGAGACAAGCATAGGTTGCTGAGGACCTGTTCTAACCCTGAATCCCCACAGGGAGACCAGCACAGGTTGCTTGGGGAATCCCAACATTACGGCCAACATAAGTCGCTGGGGACTTGCTCTAACCCGGAATACCCATCAGCCTCCTGTACGTAGTCACAAGGTCACAGTACTTACAACCAGCCACACAAGAAGGGGATGTGGATGACGCCGCAGATGATGTGAAGATTGGACCAATCGGGGGTCAGCCACGCGGTCAGGGCGAACAGGCACACGCCCATTGACCAGAACGGCATCCCGGAACACAGTGAGCGCCACTTCTTCCCGATGAACTCCATATAATAGGTGAAGCTGACCACAAGTAGAGCACCGACTGAGATTCCCAGGAGGAACCTGAATTGAACAATCAGATGCATTGGGGTTGTCAATCAAGACGCAGCCATGTTCGTGTCAAGATAGTTTAACATTACAGTGCTGGACAAACATTTAAGTTGAACAACATTTTCTTGTCTCCTGGTGATCCTTTGTTACACACTCACTCATCCACCAGCCCTGTCACTCATTCACTCACTCACTCGTCCACCAGCCTTGTCACTCACTCATCCACCAGCCCTGTCACTCACTCATCCACCAGCCCTGTCACTCATTCACTCACTCACACATCCACCAGCTCTGTCACTCACTCATCCACCAGCCCTATCACTCACTCATCCACCAGCCCTGTCACTCACTCATCCACCAGCCCTGTCACTCACTCATCCACCAGCCCTGTCACTCACTCATCCACCAGCTCTGTCACTCACTCATCCACCAGCCCTGTCACTCACTCATCCACCAGCCCTGTCACTCACTCATCCACCAGCCCTGTCACTCACTCATCCACCAGCCCTGTCACTCACTCATCCACCAGCCCTGTCACTCACTCATCCACCAGCTCTGTCACTCACTCATCCACCAGCCCTGTCACTCACTCATCCACCAGCTCTGTCACTCACTCATCCACCAGCCCTGTCACTCACTCATCCACCAGCCCTGTCACTCACACACTCACTCACTCACCAAACCTGTCACTCACCCACCCACCAGCCCTGTCACATACTCACTCGCCCACCAGCTCTGTCACTTACTCACTCACTCACCAACACTGTCACTCACTCACTCACACACCCACCAGCCCTGTCACTCACTCACTCACTAACTCACTCACCAGGCCTATCACTCATTCACTCACTGACTCACATACCTGACCTGTGAATCACTCACTAATCCACCAGCCCTGTCACTAACTCACTCATCCACCAGACCTGCCAATCACTCACCCACCAGCCCTGTCACTCACTGACTCACCACCAGCCCGGTCACTCACTCACCCACTCACCCACCAGCCCTTTCATTCACTCACTTACCCACCAGCCCTGTCACTCACTCACTAACTCACCCACCAGCCCTGTCACTCACTAACTTACCAACCAGCCCGGTCACTCACTCACAAGCCCTGTCACTCACTCACTAACTCACCAGTCCTGTCACTCACTCACCCATCCACCAGCCCTGGCACTCACTCACCAGCCCTGTCACTCACTCACTAACTCACCCACCAGCCCTGTCACTCACTAACTTACCCACCAGCCCGGTCACTCACTCACAAGCCCTGTCACTCACTCACTAACTCACCAGTCCTGTCACTCACTCACCCACCCACCAGCCCTGGCACTCACTCACCAGCCCTGTCACTCACTCACTAACTCACCCACCAGCCCTGTCACTCACTCACCCACCCACCAGCCCGGTCACTCACTCACCAGCCCTGTCACTCACTAACTCACCCACCAGCCATGTCACACACTCACTCACCCACCAGCCCTGTCACTCACTCACCCAACCACCAGCCCTGTCACTCACTCACCCACTCACACACCAGCCCTGTCACTCACTCACTAACACACCCACCAGCCATGTCACTCACCAACCTGTCCTGTCACTTACTCACCAGCCCTGTCACTCACTCACTAACTCACCCACCAGCCCTGTCACTCACTCACCCACTCACCAGCCCTGTCACTCACTCACCCACCCACCAGCCCGGTCACTCACTCAATAACTCACCAGCCCTGTCACTCACTCACTTACTCACCCACCAGCCCGGTCACTCACTAACTCATCCTCCCGCCCTGTCACTCACTCATCCACCCATCAGCCCTGTCACTCACTAACCAGCCCTGTCACTCACTCACAAACTCACCCACCAGCCCTGTCACTCACTCACCAACCCACCAGCCCGGTCACTCACTCACACACTCACACACCAGCCCTTTCATTCACTCACTTACCGGAGTATTGCAAACATCTGCCATGACACGGAAAAGCCGGCGATGACGTTAGTGATGGCGTGGATGAGCATGAAGATGAAGTGGGACTTCCGGCGGCCGAACATCTCCGCCGACTGCCCCCCAGCGAGCGCCCCAAAAAGAACGCCGCCCATCTGTATAGACGTGATGATCGGCGTAATCCACTTCCGGCTGCAGACCAGATCCCACTGGCAATATAAGCAGGAGTGAGTGAGTGAGTATGGTTTTACGCCGCTTTTAGCAATATTCCAGCAATATCACGGCGGGGGACGCCAGAAATGGGCTTTACACATTGTACCCATGTCGGGAATCGAACCCGGGTCTTTGATGTGACGAGCGAACGCTCTAACCACTAGGCTACCCGACCGCCCAATATAAGCAGGACAAAGGTATTCAATACGTCCTTCACACATGGTTATGGCTGATACGTATCCATAATGTGAACTGAACCCTTTTTTTTAACACAGATTTCGAATGTAGCGGAAAGAACCAAGAGAGGGAAAAGGCCGTGAAACTGATCGCAGCTCTACCGTAACTGACCGCCTCCGTGGTCTAGTGGTAGAGTGTCCGCCCGGACAGCGGAAGGTCCGGGGTTCGATCCCCGGCCGCGTCATACCAAAAGACGTTAAAAGATGGTACTTGTTGTTTCCCTGTCTGGCGCTCGCCATTAAGGGGCTAAAACAAGGACTGGTCGGCTCGGAGTCAGTATACTGTGTCTGAGTGGGGTATTCATGTTAAACTGCGGCATGGTATCTCAGTGAGCTAGCACTATAAATCGGCATCAGTCCGGACTAGTACAAGCAGCCACACACTCACGTGCATACACGTCGCTATATAAGTGCAATAATCTTGGACGCGACGTTAAACCCAATTTCACCTCACATCTACCGTAACTACCACTTCACTTCGGGCTTTCCTCCCACATTAAGCTGACACGCCGTGATACAACTTGAATAATGTTCAAAGTTGCGTTAAACCTAACTCATTTAATAAATGTACAGCTAAAGTCGATATTTTCTTCAAGATCATACAGATTTTGGGGCGTTAAACATTTCTTTTGAGCGGGCATATTAGTTAAGTTGTGATATTGCAATCGACCGGTCTCAATGACTACACCGTGGCTGTGTGTAGAATCAGATCGACAATGCGGTCCATTTACTGTTATCGTCAAATAACAGGGAAACAGGGACCGAGTTCACACGGGATGTATCTGGTATATTTAGGACAGCTGTCAGACCGGAGACTGACACAGAAAGATAATATCAGTGTGTCTCTATTGTTTATGTAAATAACGCCCCAAAGTCACCACCCCTACGATCACGTGAAGCCACAGAACGGGAGGTCAAGGACAACGGTGTCAGAGGATCACGGAATTGGTGAATTTTCATCCTTCCGTGTACCTTGACAGACAAAACCAAACCACACAAAACCACACAAAACCACGCTTGTTCCGTGCACTACAAAACAGAACGATATCCTGCATAATAGAACGCTGCCGTACAGAACAGAGGTGAGGTGAAATGGGGTTTAACGTCGCGTACAAGATTATTGCACTTATATAGCGACGTGCATGTACGTGTGTGTTTGTGTGTGTGGCTGCTTGTACTAGTCCGGACTGATGCCGATATATAGTGCTAGCCCTCTGAGATACCATGCCGTAGTTTAACATGAATACCCCACTCAGACACAGTATACTGACTCCGAGCTGACCAGTCCTTGTTTTAGCCCCTCAATGGCGAGCGCCAGACAGGGTAACAACAAGTACCATCTTTCAACGTCCTTGGTATGACGCGGCCGGGGATCGAACCCCGGACCTTCCGCTCTCCGGGCGGACACTCTACCACTAGACCACGGAGGCGGTCCGTACATAACAGAACAATACATTAGACATAAAAACAGAACCTTGCCTATATCATATATTAAAGTTAAAACGGATAGAATTATCATTAAACCGCCCGCATGCTATCAAAAATGAGCGGACGTCTGTAATTTGATAATGCCCTCATATTGCTTGACGACGGGCCAATATCACGCCCGTTGTTAGGTGACGTCATAGGATAGGGATAGGTGACGTCACGTTCAATAGTGACGTCATCTGGTTTGTTCTATGACGTTTCCATATTTTTAAAAGTGGGTCAGTAACATTAGTGTTGATTGAAGTAAATGTTTCAAACCCGATATTGTTGTTTCTTTTTATTTGATAACAAATTCCATCAGCAATATTCCAGCTATTTAACGCCGGTCTGTAAATAATCGAGTCTAGATCCGACAATCCAGTGACTGACACCATGAGCATCAATCGACGCAAATGGGATACGATGACATGCATCAACCAAGTCAGCGAGCCTGAGCACTCGATCCCGTTAGTCGCCTCTTACGACAAGCACAGTCGCCTTTTACGGCAAGCGTGGGTTGCTGAATATGACTAGGCCAACAACTCGACTGGACGGAAGAGGACAGAAGCGTCTTAGTGCAGATGCAAAAGCAAGCAACAAAGTATTTCGAAAAAACAGATGGACCAACAAAACACAGGATCGTTTATACAACCTTAGAACCGCTCACAATATAACTATGCCTCTATTACGAGCTAAGTTATCTGAATCCTCGTTTATACCATCCGCGATCAAATTGTGGAATACATTACCTATTCAGCAAAGGAATATTGAAACATTCCCTCGATTTAAATCCAGTTTAAGAACAGATAGTACTACAGTTCCATCATATTTCTCATATGGTTTAAGTAAAATTAACATAATACGTACAAAATTAAGATATGATGACAGTGAATTAAAAAATGACTTATTTAGAAAAGGTTTAAACGAGGATCCGAAATGCCGATGTGGCAGCCCATGTGAAAATTCATATCATTTTTTCATTGAATGTCCTTTACTTAAATCAGAAAGAAACGAATTGTTGCACTCATTACTATTAATTGTAAAAGATACTTGTGATGTACATATTAACCTGATGCTTGTTCGAAAAGAAATTTTACCTAATCATGTGAACGAAACCATTTTTAGGAATGTACATACATATATAAAGAAAACAAAAAGGTTTGAGTGAGCAGTGTGAATGTACATACGTTTCTCTATCTCTTTCCTTTCTGTCATTTGATTTATTAACTGTAAATAAGCATACATGTAAATCTATGGGAGAGGGCGTTCTAAGTTGTGATAACTTGTGCCAAATCCTTTTCATGAGAATAAAATATGTTTAAACTAAAACAGGATCGTTTTGTAAAAATGACCAAAAAAACTCACCTCGTTAACAATCGTGTTGTAGGTGTCGCTGTACACGCGCCTGCACGTGTCATTGCCGTCGGTGTAGCACTTGTGAAACGTTGTGTTGTCGAAGCTGACATTGCCATGTTTGGAATGGTTACCCCCCTCAGAGCCGGGCAGGCACCACCAATCTGGTATCGTTCCAGTGAAGGACATCACCAACATGCTCCAGCCTAGGAGACCACGTGGCCCCAGAACGGTCACCAGCATGATCTTCTGGAAGCGTCCAAATGTCCAGATCTCCTCAATAATCTCCTCCACGTGCATGTTGGAGACGTTGACAACCACGGAATGTGAGAGAGATGAGGGGATGAGTATGTCAGCGGATGGTGGTCAAAACCCCAGGTATGAAGCAGTTTCCGTCACTTCAGGGAGTTTCACGCACGGCGCAGAACTGTGAGCATCCAATCATTGTCTTTGCATCTTGACTGGAAGGGAAATATGAATTGCTAATAAAACCGACAAAACCTTTCCGTATTTGTAAGAGATCTCTGCGAAAAGCAGAGTCGATTGTACGATTCCGACTATATCATGAGCATGTGTTTGTAAATCACTCTCAAATTGGGATGACACCAGGTGTTCGCGAAAAGGTGTGGATACCCGACACCCGTCATAAAAACACATGCAAAGGCAAGGCAATTGTTCATCTGAACGTATGGTACACGTCAATATAGGGAATTGCATCGGACAGCATTCTTTTTTTTTGTAACTGATGCGTCAAATTTTGAAATGTCCCCGACATGTCTTCCACAAAACATTTAAAAAGCTTTACTGAGGCCTTGAATCTTGTAACCGTGAAAAACAACTTCTGAGCAAGAGTCGTATGACGCTCTTTGAAATCTTGGAAGAGAGAGCATGCTCGATTGTACCTCGAAAGGCTGGAGCTGCTGGAATATCGCTCGACATAAAGTGAAAGATGACTAATGGGTAGTTGAAGTCATCCCTCTTGTCATACAGTCTTGTGGAGAGTGTTTGTCACTCTGAATCTTTATGCAAAGACCTTAATAAGAAATAGATGAGGCGGTCTCACTGGTCTCCTTAATTTCTAGTTCAGGTGGGTAGATCAGACGAAGGGAATTGGCCATTTGATTGTTATTCCAAAATCATCGATTTACTTGAAGTTTAAGTTAAACTTTGCTAAATAACCTTGTTTTGACTTTGCCAATCAGAGCAGAAATTCTGATTCATATGCATAAAGAAACAAATCTGCAAGAAGGGAGCACAATTGGTGCCCATGGGGATGCCTACTTATTACCCAAACAATTAATGACTTACATCAATTTTACAGAGATGTTATCAATATTTCACATATTGTTTTCTCAGTAAACTTCAGATGGCATTTGCTTTCATATTTGACAAATTGCCATGAACATTAAAAATAATTATGTCGGAAACACACCACATAATATAACATAAAAGACACCCGAATGTCTATAGCTAATCTGTTATGGCTGGTGGGGGCACGGGTGGCCCAGTCGTCTAAGGCGCCGCGATTCGCTGTGCAGAGTTGCGTCCCTTGGGCACGCCAGAAACCTATGGTTGTGGGTTCGAATCCCGCTTCACCCCGATTATGTTTCTAGGTTTGTCAGCACCATACCCGTGCTCGTGGGTTTCACCGAAGTGGTAAACGTCTGAGACCTGCATCACTTCGGGCTTTCCTCCCACATTAAGCTGACACGCCGTGATATAACTGGAATACTGTTAAAAGCGGCGTAAAACCCAACTCACTCACTCACTCACTGTTATGGCTGGTGGATAAACAATATCCCATTTGTGGGTGTTCTTTAACTTTTCTTTTTGTACTTTATACCTACTGAAATGGTGTTGGGAAAGAAACGTCTGACAATTTGAACAATCCATCAAATACCAATTATGGTTTAACATAATAACATAAATATATGTAAATTCACTGAGGAAATGTGAGTGATCCGTTTCTGTTTGTATGATTAACAATTTGTATGTACTTGGTAATATGCAATTCAATAAGTTGCTATATGTTATAGCTTTATTCCACGATCCTGCAAGGGCTGTTTATGAGATGGAGATAATTGCAATGTTCTCAGGGATTATTCTGGCCTCCTCTGGTCCAACAGCAATGCCATTGTTTGGCGTCTGAGATTTTGCTAACTATCCTACATCTTCATCAAACTGTATTTGCTCTTCGTTATTTATGACACGTATTATGATGCAATTAATGTTACGAGATCATTTAGATAATATATCATTATCCATAAATTATTAACACACTTAATTATTCCACAGCGAATATCTAAATATGTGTATATTATAGGATAATGAGCATTTTCAACTGAAACAAACTTACGAATCACAATCTTTTTATTTATTTCTGTTCATTGTCGTCTTAAGGGGAATCTTTCACCAGTACAATCATAGATCGTTCAGCAAACGTGTTTACCACGATCAGCTGTTCATTTCGGGAGACAACAATCTGCAGGTATCAAATTTCTAGTTCTTTGACAAAGTGTTTAGATCTTAATTGAATATATTTTAGGGGCAAGACATCAAATAGCGACTGTTTTGAGTCGTGTTGCAGTCTCCTGACAAAATATTTACATTCGAGAAATATTTTTTTTAAACACGGTGCTTTCGTGAATTTCGTTGTCCGTTTCCGTCTGTACTTTGTCCCGACTATAAAGAAGGAAATACTGTGGATTGTTTAATTAGTAGTGATAGTTCATCATATGTTCACTATGCAATGACTATTGCTCCAGGTCACCCTGTTGTTTAATAAGTTGTGATAGTTCATCATATGTTCACTATGCAATGACTATTGCTCCAGGTCACCCTGTTGTTTAATTAGTAGTGACAGTTCATCATATGTTCACTATACAAAGACTATTGCTCCAGGTCACCCTGTTGTTTAATAAGTTGTGATAGTTCATCATATGTTCACTATGCAATGACTATTGCTCCAGGTCACCCTGTTGTTTAATGAGTAGTGACAGTTCATCATATGTTCACTATACAAAGACTATTGCTCCAGGTCACCCTGTTGTTTAATTAGTAGTGAAAATTCATCATATGTTCACTATGCAATGACTATTGCTCCAGGTCACCCTGTTGTTTAATTAGTTGTGACAGTTCATCATATGTTCACTATGCAATGACTATTGCTATAGGTCACCCTGTTGTTTAATTAGTAGTGACAGTTCATCATATGTTCACTATACAATGACTATTGCTCCAGGTCACCCTGTTGTTTAATTAGTAGTGATAGTTCATCATATGTTCACTATGCAATGACTATTGCTCCAGGTCACCCTGTTGTTTAATTAGTAGTGATAGTTCATCATATGTTCACTATGCAATGACTATTGCTCCAGGTCACCCTGTTGTTTAATTAGTTGTGACAGTTCATCATATGTTCACTATGGAATGACTATTGCTCCAGGTCACCCTGTTGTTTAATTAGTAGTGATAGTTCATCATATGTTCACTATGCAATGACTATTGCTCCAGGTCACCCTGTTGTTTAATAAGTAGTGACAGTTCATCATATGTTCACTATGCAATGACTATTGCTCCAGGTCACCCTGTTGTTTAATAAGTAGTGACAGTTCATCATATGTTCACTATGCAAAGACTTTTGCTCCAGGTCATCCTGTTGTTTAATTAGTAGTGATAGTTCATCATATGTTCACTATGCAATGACTTTGCTCCAGGTCACCCTGTTGTTTAATTAGTTACAATTAAGTATTAATTTATTTGACTTGGCGTCTTTGCGATGTGCAACAGCCAGAAAATGTTGACACTTAAACGGAAGCTGAAAACAATGTTGACTTCATGTTTATGAGTTACGTTTAAAAGATTAAGACACATTTTAACTTTTATGGACAAATACGGAAGCAAGCGCATCGTAGCATATTCTAAACTCTAAATTCAATTTGATGTTTGACCAATAGAAATAGTTCAAAATGTGTAATGCCCTTACGGCGGTCATTCTTGCAGGAGGGGACTTCGTGGAAACTCTGCCCCCAGTGTCGTCGTACCTAAAGGCTAGGAGAATATCATCTAAAATACGATCGTTTGTACTTTGAATTTGTATATTATTATGGAGAAAATATTAATATTATCATGAAGAGTTGTAGGCATATCTTTTAAGCTTTTGTTTCAAGTCATTAAAAAGAAACTCTGACTAGGACACAAACACAACTTTAACGAGGACACACACAAACAATCGGTTTACCTTGCACTTGACACGACGCTATGAAGTGGACTGACGGCGTGAGCAAGTCCTCGGGCAATACATACTTGAAGATAACTGATCCAGAACTTCTAACACAATTACCTGCATCACAGTGGTATGTCAAGGGGCGTTCTATCTCTGTATATTTTACGCTCACCTTGGACCTGAGAAGGTGAACTTATGTCAAGGATTCCATCACTATGTCCCTACTTGCAACATCGTGACACTTAACAGTGCCTGATTTTACTAAATAGTATGCCTTTATACGTGTTATAGAGCAATTAACAGTGCCTGATTTTACTAAATAGTATGCCTTTATACGTGTTATAGAGCAATTAGCAATGCTTGTTTATACTAAATGGTATGCCTTTATACGTGTTATAGAGCAATTAACAATGCCTGTTTTTACTAAATAGTATGCCTTTATACGTGTTATAGAGCAATTAACAGTGCCTGATTTTACTAAATAGTATGCCTTTATACGTGTTATAGAGCAATTAGCAATGCTTGTTTATACTAAATGGTATGCCTTTATACGTGTTATAGAGCAATTAACAATGCCTGTTTTTACTTAAAAGTATGCCTTTAAACGTGTTATAGAGTAATTACAATGCCTGTTTTTACTAAATAGTATGCCTTTATACGTGTTATAGAGCAATTAACAATGCCTGTTTTTACTAAATAGTATACCTTTATAAGTGTTATAGAGCAATTAACAGTGCCTGTTTTTACTAAATAGTATGCCTTTATACGTGTTATAGAGCAATTAACAGTGCCTGATTTTACTAAATAGTATGCCTTTATACGTGTTATAGAGCAATTAACAATGCTTGTTTATACTAAATGGTATGCCTTTATACGTGTTATAGAGCAATTAACAATGCCTGTTTTTACTTAAAAGTATGCCTTTAAACGTGTTATAGAGTAATTACAATGCCTGTTTTTACTAAATAGTTTGCCTTTTTACGTATTATAGAGCAATTAACAATGCCTGTTTTTCCTTCTAAGTATGCCTTTATACGTGTTAAAGAGCAATTAACAATGCCTGTTTTTACTTAAAAGTATGCCTTTATACGTGTTATAGAGCAATTAACAATATCTGTTTTTACTTAAAAGTATGCCTTTATACGTGTTATAGAGCAATTAACAATGCCTGTTTTTACTAAATAGTATGCCTTTATACGTGTTACAGAGCAGTTAACAATGCCTGGTTTCACTTCT